CCAAAACAATTTGTAAAAAGGGGGAAACTTATGATAACTTGTTGGTTAGATGCGAACCAATACTATCACTTGCCAGCTAGCATGTCCTCGACAAGAAACTAGAAGGCTCAACTTGTTCTATTAATCAAAGTGATGTTCGATTGGAAACCCATCAAAATGTATCCATAGTGAGGCAACCAATCTCGCAAACATCAGGTTGCGATTAGATAAAATACATGTGATCATCCATTTGATGCAGGAACCCATAAAATTCACAAATGATCCACTTGACTGATGTATTGTTCTACATCACGTCCATAAAATCTCAAGAGATTTGCCAACCCTTTTACAAGCGATGATCAATTGTTCTATATTCCTTGAGAACAAGCATGACATAATAACTCTTGAAGGATTCTTTGAATTCTCATATGATGTTCTCATGAATTCTCAAAGAATCTTTTCCACATCAAGATCCGGGATGGTCTAACCGGACCAACCAAATTATCAAGTTATCAAATCTTGTAAACTTCTGGTTTACACTTTTATGTGTACTGATAGTGCTAATATACATGTAGTACATATTTGTGATGCAAATATTAGTTTTACTATTTTCTTGATAAGATACTCATTTTACGAACATTCTTTTAATTGGGTAATGCATCATCACTAGGTAGTTTGGGTCCTTCAGGCCACAAAACATTAGCTCTTTTAGAGCTTTATCATATTTCGCCCTTCCGAAGACTTATGATTTGATGAGTAAACACATATTCATAGGGAATATCATCACAAATTATTATCACGAGTACATAATTTAGTTACTTCAAGTAACCAAACATAAGCTCTTCGGAAGCTTTTTCTCATTTATGTACTCTACCATATTAGCTTATATTGAATTTTTCTAACAATCATACTTTACAAAAACACACTAAAATAATAAATGAAAATATTTCAAACTTAAGACAAAAATGATAAACTTATCAAGTTAATCGTTCTAGATAAAAGTTATCAAGTTAAATTATGCATGAAAATAATGGCACAATAAAACATAATAGAAAATAAGAATCATAATACTACAATTGTGAAAATTTAAATAAGCTTTATTTGGAACAATACCATCACTAACTAGGTGATTTTAAATTTATATATGCCTTCAACATTGATAAAAATAATGATATATGCCTTTCATTATACATTTCAATGTACAATAGGTAAATTATGTTATCATGACTTTGATAATATAATTGTTGTGTCATACTTATTTATAATTCTCATATTTCTCTTTTCTCACTTCTGGTGAAAAAGATCCAAACAATACATTTACCATATATATAATTATGTTTATAGTTTCATTCACTTTGGGGAATAGATTGTTTCATTCACTTCTGGGAATGCAAATGTCTCAAGTGCAATATCATTTTCATCTTTAATGGAGAATATACCAACTTATAATACAAAAAATATGTTCCATAATATTGATATTGCATCAGCATATTTGAATTTGCTTTTTCCTTTGATTCTTGGTAGAATAAAGTCTTTTACGTTCAACGGGTACGAGACAAACACACTTTTCCATTACAATGGTAACATACAGAACCAATATTCTTATTACCATGTCCTTTTCTTTCTTTGCCCTTGAATTCTTCAATTTCCACTTCTGGGGAATATATAGGCTCTTGGAACTTGCATTTTCTACATATCAATGTGGGATTGATAAGAACATGATAACACAGCGAGTTGAAAAATTAACTCATCACTTATATTACTTTTCTTGTTATTGTTACTACATGAGCAAATTTTAATTTGCGATAATGTCAAAACACCAATTTAATTTTAAGGAATCGATGTATGTATTGTAAAACACATAATAATATAAATCAAATTACACAACCCAAAATTTTAATCCAAATAGATGTACGTGATGAAATATCATTGGATGGTATACTACGAGAAAAGAGTAGCATCCATGTTAATATATTGGAATGAGATAATCTCACCACAAATAAGACAATAAGATATGAAAGAAGACGAAGATTTGCATACCTTGATCATATTGTGATCTTACTCCAATATACTAAATTGTGTAGAGAGACAATGACCAACCATGATGCTAGCAGAACTTCGTGCTGATAACGTGTTATGAAACTAATGGAAAATATAAACAACTACAAGAGAAGATTAGAGAGGGAAAGACACAAAGAAGAGAGGGGGAAGTGAGCTTTCTTATTCATTCTTCTCTTTTGATACAATGATGTGCTTTATTTATAGGCACACCTTGATAACCACTACATCCTTATATCAACGAGAGATAATGAAACATAAAGGAGCTATCAAATGTAGGAATGAGGTTACATGTAACTCCCAAGTAAGCATCTAATGTGGTAATGGCAATGGTCATCCATACATCGATATTTACATAATAGAATGGTTATATTTGTCCTTTCGAGCCGCTGCAAGAAATGTGGTGTATATGATTTATGGTGATGCAAGATAGTACATTAAATTTGATTCAATATAATTAATTTGGTGTTGGTTATTTACACCATGTTCAGTTTTTACTTTTTAGTGCATTGTTTCTTTGTACTTATTAATTAATATAACAAATAAGAAAAACCAAAGTGAATCTTTTTTTAGCAAATTAGAGATTTGTTTCATTAGTATGAGGAAACAACAATCATTCCAATATCTCATCTCTACAAATCAAGAACAACACTTGAGACGATTTGATTTCAATAGTTATATTTCAAACCATCCATCCCATCATCACGTTTGTGCCTATCAAATGGCTCCATCTCAAACCCGCCAAGATGATGCTCATCTTCTTCCCCAGGAACCTGCCACTTCCCAAGAGGCTCCGGATAGTATAACAACACCTTAAGTGTTGTTATACTAACAACAAGGGTATAACAGTAAAATAGCAATAAATAACAAATTATAAATAAATAAAATCTAAATACCTAAGCGTGTTTTATCTTCCTATCTCCTCAGCAACAGCGGCGGCCGAATCTGTACCTCCGAACAACAATCTTCTTCAACGGAGATTCAATCGCCACGTCGTACACCTTCGACGAGAGTATATTCGTCAAATACCCCATGGCCCCGATGACATCGTCGTCACCCCCGCATCCTCCCCTCCGATCAGGCACCGCGCCGAGGTAGCCGGGCGGGTACTGCAGCGAGCTCGGAGACACCTTCCTCCGCGGAGCAGCTACCTTCGCCACCTCCACCGTCGCCGACAGCGAATTGTCGTGGGAGGGCGTCGGCAATGGAGAGATCTCGGCGGCAGGTTTCGACAGGGCAGCGGCATGATTGAAGGATGTGCTTCCATATCATCGACATGAGAGAGTTCCTCGTAGAGTCCATAGCTCGGTATTGTAGTAGCAATCATCGTTGTTGTCGACGCTTGGATGTTGATCTCCCACGATCGTATCGGGAATACCATCGATCTCTGCTTCCAAAGATTTGATCACACTCCTTACCCTTTCCTTGCCGTTGTAGCCTTCAACTTGCAGCAGGGACTCTTCAAATAGTGACAAGAGAAGGGCTTCATGTTGGCTCTCCATGAGATTGTTCTGGGCTAGAAGAGATGTCATTTTGGAGAGAAGACTAGGGGATATGGAATGGTGAGAAGTGGTGGGATTAGCTTGGTAGATGGCTTGGACGACGGTTTCGTTCTTGCTCCAATTCGTCCAGCTAGCGCCATGGGAGCGCGGAACTCGGCGGCGCCGTGAAGCCTAGCTATGAGGAAGACCATAAGAGAGGCCGACTACCATAGCCATGTGCCATTGTCTTATGAGAATCTTGATGGGTACTTGCTGTTGCTGATGATGATGATCACACCATAATGTCTCTTATTATTAGGTTTTCAAGCCTTCATCACCTACATTTCCCCTTGGCTGCGGTGCTAGGCGGAGAGCCTCCATTTCGTTAGGTTGGGAAATTGGGACCAACAACCAAGTGGCGAGAGTGAGAGAGAGCGGCATTTTTCTGCCTTAAAACAAACTAGAAATATTTTGAAAAGCATACCAAAAATTCCATAATGCAAACCATAAACACGGTAAAGCAAACCAAAAGCGTCCTAATGCAGACTACAAATATATTAAAACAAACCAGAAACTCCGTAAAGCAAACCACAAAACTTTCGAAAGCACACCAGAAACTTCTTAATGCAAACCAGAAACCTCCTAATGCATACCACAAATCTCCTAAAAAACACCACAAACCTTACAAAGCAAACCACAACATTTGCGAAAGCACACCAGAAACCTCCTAATGCATACCACAAATCTCCTAAAACAAACCACAAACCTCACAAAGCAAACCACAACGTTTGCGAAAGCACACTAGAAACCTCCTAATGCAAACCACAAACACAGTAAATCAAACCACAAAAAAGCAAACCATAAACGTCCTAATGCAAACCACAAATATATTAAAACAAACCAGAAACCTCACAATGCAAACCACAAAGTTTTTGAAAACAAATGAGAAACTTCTCAATGCAAACCAGACACACGATAAAGCAAACCACAAAAGGCATAAAAAAATATGAGAAACCAAACCATAAATTTCACAATGCTAACCATAACATCTAGTGATCGTTGACTGTTGACCGGTCAACGAAGTTCGTTGACCGTTGACCGGTCAACGAAAATCGTTGACCAAACTCCGATGATCGTCAGCGAGTAGATTCCGACGCCGATAGGCATATTCCGGCCCCGATGACTAGATTCCGACGCCGGTAAGCATATTCCCACCACGGTGAGCATATTCCGGCGACAAATAGCATATTCCGGCGACAAAAAGTATATTCCGGTGACCGGCGACAAAAATTTTTGGCCGAAAATAAAAAAAATATTTTTTTTATTTTTTTTATTTTTTTATACATATTTTTCATAATAACAATTATACCCCTGCTTTGATTTTACACTAGGTCAACTCATCTAATAAAAAGTCATCACAACCCTAGCTTCCTATTGGTTGGAGACTAGTGTTGTTATAATAATGGCAAATTAGAGATTTGTTTCATTAGTATGAGGAAACAACAATCATTCCAATATCTCATCTCTACAAATCAAGAACAACACTTGAGACGATTTGATTTCAATAGTTATATTTCAAACCATCCATCCCATCATCACGTTTGTGCCTATCAAATGGCTCCATCTCAAACCCGCCAAGATGATGCTCATCTTCTTCCCCAGGAACCTGCCACTTCCCAAGATGCTCTCTCGAGTGCTCCGATGGCTCGTGCACATCTACCATATGCTCGCGCCGTTGATCCCCCAACTCCTCTGCTTCTTCCTCCGGCCCGATGTACTGTTGCACGATCAGAACAGAGCTCCGCGAATCGTCCATCGAGACCAACGAGTCCCCAATCGGACCGAGCTCTGGATACTCGCACCAGTCCAACAGAGCAGCCGTCAGAGGCTGCAGGGCACCTTCCCCTTTCCCCACCAAGAACAAATCAATCTGTTGTGTTGTGGCCATTTCTCTCAAGATGAACACCACTTCCTCCTCCCCATTCACCTCCTTCTCCTCGTAGTGGATCATCTCTTGCCCCGCGGATCTCAGCCTGAACTCATTCAAGCACATTTGGTCAAGCTTCCTCTGCCTCTCTACGTAGGCAGACGCAGTCACAAGGCCACCGAACTCGCCGGCTGTGCCCTGGATGCCATCCATATCGTCACCCCCATGATTCGATTCCAACATTCCCGATTGAAATCTAACAACGCGCAGATTCACCACCCCACTCGCTCCCATCCTCGAAGCGTAAGCGAGAGCCTCGCGATCATCAGGCCCGCCGAAGAACAACATTGCAACCTGCCGCTTCAGGGAAGAATCCTCATTCTGGGTTTCCCCAAACCCTCTGTCCACAAACAGTCCTACGGTGCAAGGAGCATTTGCCAGCACGTTCAGGTTGACCCCTCGAAACGAGGTGCTGCCTTCTTCGTCGAGCTTCCCATCTCGAGTCGGGGGCTTGTGGAAAGGCAGGATCACGAAGCTCACCCTCCTGTCCTCGGCCAGGCTACATATGTCGTCGTGCATCGTGACGAAAGGGGACAGCGCAGTCAGAGGGTGCATTTCGATCGAGTCGTTGAGGCTAGCGAAAGTGTCCAGTGCAGTCAGGATTTGTTCAGAGTTGGCGTCTTTGCGCCCTGCTCGACTCTTCCCCGGATTGTGGATGATCAGCATCGCGGAGGCTCGACCGGTGAGCTCGACGAGGTGGAGGGCGAACACGTTGAGAGGGGATTCTTTGGTTGTTGCAGAGGAATCGAAGAGGTTGATCATCCCTGTTATGTTGTAGGGGCCATGGAAGCAAGCCAGGACTCTGAGCTCGGATTCTGCTCCTTTGGCTTGTTGGATCGTCCTCTGTTTGTAATGAGACAGACGCTTGGCCGGGCGGTACATGTTGGCGATGATCGGCCCCGTAGCCGCAGTCATGACTGCAATGGAAAGAACTAGTGTTGCGTACTCATAGCTAGACAAAATCTGCACATAGTCCGATTGAATAAATTAGAAAAGATTTTCGTCCTAAACCGCAGTTAGTAAGAGGATAACTCAAGTTGTTAGGAAAGTTCTGTATGTAATTGTGTATGTATCTTAACCACTTTCATACACACAACCAGACAAAAGCTGCACAATCGCATGATAATTAGGAAAGGTTATGTATGAATGTTAACCACTTTCTTACACACGCTCGCCCTCAAACGAAAGCTAAATCATGTACTTGAAGTTTGCAGAGAGGTCCACTATACCACGTGTTTTAAGACAGCGCGGTTAATATTGAGGATCGTGAGAAGTTGAACACGTGATCTCAAAGAAAAACCAGTTTCGATACAATGCTATAAACAAACTGGTCCCAATTACTCACGAATAGTTGGAAAATTGTATATGTATGAATCATGAGTTCATGACCAGTTCCCTTAGAAAATTCAAATTCAAATCCGCACAAAAATAAACATTACTTACCTTTTTATCTATGGCCAAGTTTGCCATGAACATGGAGATGATCCCTTTGGTATTAGAAATCAGCCCAAGAGCAAAAGCATCCCGCCGTGGGATCTTATACCTAGAAGTGGTGATCATCGCTCCGATGATCTTCAACGAGCAACATATCAGAATCGTGAACGCCGGCCCTGCCCAATTGCTATTGACCTCCTTCAGGTTGATCTTCAACCCACAGGTGACAAAATACAGAGGAAGCAAATACCCAGACATGAAATCCTCAAACTTATCCGCCAGCATCCCGGCAATCACTCTGTCCGGCATGATAACCCCAAACACGAAAGCTCCGACCAGCGACCCTGTCCCCAGCACCTCCGTAGCACAGGCGAACAGCGAAACAGAGACCATGATGAAGCTCAGGTAGTGCTCGTTGACGTTGTTCCTGTGAGCGGTGGTGCGGCGGATCAAAAGGGCCAGAACAGGGCGAACCGCGTAGACGCAGAACAGAATGAAGGCGACATTGGCCAGAGCAGAGTAAACCGCATTCAAGAAGCTGATGGTGTAGGGAAGCAGAACGACGACGAATGCCCACCCGACCAGATCCTCGACGAGGGCGCAGGACATGGCGAGCCTGCCGAGATCGGTGTGGATTAGCTTGAGCTCGACGAGGATCCGGGAGACGACCGGGAAGCCCGTCATCGCGAGCGGGGCGGCGAAGTAGACGAACTGGCTCTGGCTGCTCTCCTCGTCCGGGCGGTTCTTGTGTATCATGAGGAAAAGGGCGATGCCGGCGAGGAGGGGGAAGAGGAAGCCGAAAGCGGCGACGTGGATGGCTTTCTTCCCTGCCCGGAGAACAGAGGCGACGTCGGTTTCCAATCCGAGCAGGAAGACGTGGCAGGTCAAGGCCCAGTATGAAACCGTTTCCAGCATCATCAGCGCTCTCAAAGGGAACATCTGCTGGAAATAACCCAGATTGCCTAACGCTGTTGGGCCGATTAGAATCCCTCCCTGTAAAACATAGAAACTTCAATTGATCGGTAATCGATTTAAAGACATCCAATTTTTTGATATATTTCGAGAAACGAGAGGTTTACCAAGATATTGGCGACGATTGGGGGGATGTGGTATGGCTTGAAGATGTATTGGAGGACGCGAGTGATGACGATGACGGTGGCCAGCTGCATTGCCAAGATGGGGAGAGATTGAGTGAGCGGATTTTCACTCTGCCATAGCCCGCTGCTGGAAGTGACATTCACAATGTAGCAATGGATGCCGGGATGATCCGGCGAGCGGTACAGGTTTTGCTCCGCGTTTATATCCATGTTTCCTTCTTTCTTTCTATCGAATCAATGAGATGAAAACAGGGAAGAAATTCTGTGCCTGTGACGAACCCTCCTCCTAGCTTCCTTGATAGGGCAAGAAGCGATAGAGGACATGGAAATTGAGGAGGAAGAACCATAGGAAGAAGAAGATGGGGAGGAAGAAAGGAGGGAGAGGGAGGAATCGTTTTGGCATAACTGAAGACTGTTGGTGAGAGCAAAAGAATCCATTGGTGCTCCGATGAATTGGGATGGTTTTCAAAATTGTTCAGATTTGTTGGTTCCGTTAGCATATGTTTATGTTATACTAGTCACGGACCCGGCCAGTTGGCCGAATACAGATGTCAACCACGTAAATAGTAGTAGCAATTTGTATGCGATATAAGTATGTCTTCGATAGAATAGGAAAATATAAAATTTTCAAGTTATTGAACATTAAAATTAATTGACAGCATTAAGTAATCCAAATTATTAAAATGAATCAACCATTCAAAATTATCAACATCATATTGTTTTCCGACATTGTAATTGACTTATTGATAAAAAATCATTTAAAAAAATGAAAAACAGACCTCATGTCGGGGAACTGACTCCTAAATCTTTTTAAGAACCTTTCTATTACCCCTCATAGTCAGACATTACTGCATGTTTTCATTTGAATTGTATGCATTTCCTCTGCCATGGCCTATGAGCAACATTGTTATCTCCACCCGAATAATCTATTCATTTACATTAGTGACACATTTATCTCCCATATCAATTTAATCTTCTTTATTCTTCTCTTGCATTTCAATAATCCCTTCCTTCTTTCATGCATTTTTTCTGAGTTTTGCTCTTCCTCATCCTTCCCTATAAAGGAAATTTTGTACTCACTTGTTGGATTAAAGATGTTGTAATCTATGAGTTTGATGTTGAATGTAACGTCATTCCCTCAATTGTAGGAGATGAGTAGGTGGTGGCCCTATCATTCCATTATTGGTTTGGAATAGTCTCTCAGACGACATTCCAGAAAATCACCGCTCAATCGATCCATAACAACAATTTTAGCCTGAGCTTGTTTGTTCGCAACTCGAATTTGGATCCTGAATCTATATAATGATGGCAATGACATAAACAATAGCAAAAATTGTATGAAGTACGTTATTTTTTAGTTGGTAAAGGAAAAAATATAAAATGATTTAATTAAACTATGCTACTGCTGGTTCCCAACTGGCCCTGACCTAGTCAACACGAAGATTTCCTGCATTGACTGATTATGAGGCGGGTATGGATAAAACTCGCAAAAAGTTTGATGAGGATGTAGCGAATATAGTTTTAGGCTCTATGGCCCCGTCAAGAGTATTTATTCAACCATAAAAAAAAATAGAGGGATCGAATTCTAATATGTCAATGAAAAGAAGGATAATTAAAAAAAAAGAATGTAATTGATTGGCCATGCAAAATAAACCTTAATTTATTTCCCCTAAATTCTCCCTTCATACCTTCACTTCTTTCTCCCTTTAAAGCGATTGTTTTAGTTATATTTTTGCTCACTAAATGTGTCAGAGTTGAAGATGCATAATTCAGATGGTATTGTACCTAATTTTCTTATGGATTAATAGATGTTTTGGAATTGAACGTGTCGAATTCCTATTAAAATGATTGTATATTTGTTGAATTTGTGATTTATTGGTCTCTTAGTATTATAATTAAAGGTCTACATGTTTTTTTAGATATAGCAATGTTAGATGTATGGGTGTGTATCACCCACGGGTATCCAAAAATTGTGGGTATGAGAATGAAGATGCAACCTCCTTCGTATGGGCATGAGTTTGATTATTTGAAATGGATATGCGAATGGTTTAGAAAATCTCACGCAAGTCCACCCATTGCCATACATAGTGGAAAGAACATGTTTTTTTCTAACAATATCTAAAAGATCCACATAAATAGGCAGACTATCACATAAGGATAATGTTTCAAAATGAAATTAAATATGGAAGGCCACGTCAATCCAGTAATCACCTCATTTTATGTCCCAAGCAACCAAATGTGAGTAAAAAACAAATGTAGCATCCAATGAAATGGAGATCTCCATTTTCAAATCTAAGACTGGCTCGAACCTGGCGGCCATATTTTAAAAAAAATGAGTTTTTAGCCCATTTTCTTCTCCAACTCATTCTCCTTTGGCCCTCCAAAAATGGAGAAGGACAATTAAAAGTGGACTTAAGGCTTTTGGTATAGGTGGCGGGCATAAATGTGGATGGAAAGATGATGGGTCTGTGGTAGGTGCGCCTAGAACGCACTCACGCGGGAGATAGGCTTCATCCCGCACACATGCTTCTCAGGCCTGCCCTCGTGTGTCGACCAGGATAAGAGGGTGATCATCCGCATTTGCGAGGATGACATTTAGTTGTGTAACTATCTTACCAAAGAGAGTTGCCTCACAACCAATATTATGTACAATCTGAAGAATTTACGTAAGCGGGAAGTTTTAGTAAGAGCTCTTTGGGGATAACTTTTCAATGAGTCTAGATGTTGGGTTCTATATGCATAAATTTGGAATAAATTTGAATTGAGAACAATAATTCATATCTGAAAGAAATTTTCTTTGGTCGCACTTCTTATCAATCTCTTATCGTTTAATGAAATTAAACTTGTAAGCTGGTTTGGCTGGAATATCATTGCACGATATTTCCTCATTATTTGATTCAAACTTGGTGACCAATTTGTTTGTAATTGGCCTGACTGACCTTGAAGTTCTTGATGGTGTGACTCTGGTCATGAAATAGGGGTCAAAATTCCTTAATTTGTCCTTTAGTTATTTGCACCCAAATAACATTGCCATGAGGAAATAATATAAGCATGTTTATAAATTTTAAAATTGTAATCATAGATTCTGAATTTGCATGTTGTACTTAGTTTATTTTTGAGTCAATCACTATCATATTGAGAATAATAATAATAATATATGTGTTCGGATTGATTTCTTGCCACTTATTGTTTGAGAAACTTTCCACACAATAACAACGCATGTGATTCTTCCCTGTCTTGTTTCGAGTCTAGATCGAACTGCAAAAACTATATTGGGCCACTTTCTTCTCATTGTATCCATTCGCATGGCAATCAATAATGTTTTAAGGTCAAACGATATGAAATAGTTTGAGTGATTTTAATTATTAGTAGTTATCATCAATAGCGGACTTGAACTGCTCACTTCTCTCCCATTGAATAACGCATGTGATTCTTCCCTGTCTTGTTTCGAGTCTAGATCGAACTGCAAAAATCACATTGGGCCACTTTCTTCTCATTGTATCCATTCGCATGGCAATCAATAATGTTTTAAGGTCAAACGATATGAAATAGTTTGAGTGATTTTAATTATTAGTAGTTATCATCAATAGCGGACTTGAACTGCTCACTTCTCTCCCATTGAATCCCAATTCCTTTGAAATAACAGACTATTCAATATTTAATTCTAGCCATGAGGAAATAATATAAGCAAATATATAAAATTTTAAAATTGTAATCATAGAGTTTGAATTTGCATGGTTGTAGTTAGTTTACTTTTGAGTCAATCACTATCATATCGATAAAAATAATAATATATGTGTTCCTATTGATTTCTTGCACTTATTGTTTGAGCAACTTTCCACACAATAACAATGTGTGATTCTTCCCTATCTTGTTTCGAGTCTATTCAATATTTAATTCTTACTTGAGATTCCCTAGATTTATTTGAACGCAAGATCAATATTAATCTTACAAATTAGGAAGTAATGGAGACATATTTTTGCGATTACATGGAGATTTTAGGGTAAAGATCTCACATGAGCTCGATTCTACTATCATACCAGACAATTGATTTGGTGGATATATTGGCTTTCTACAATAGCTTGATTAAGTTTGGAAAATCTTAGCATCGTTATTGCGATGATATTTGGATCTATCAAGAATTATTATTATGCTTTTGGGGGAGCTTGTAGTGGTATGCAGAGCTCAAATATAAATCACAACAATTTTTGTGATGAAGCTTCCAACAAATTCGTTTTTGCCCATATTTTAAACATGGCTAGGGAAGTCTAGTGGTTGGTGATGAAACTACTTACACCTCCCAGGAATGTCATTTTTACATGTGGTGGTTTTATATCTGATATTGTATATCATGAATTGTCTTTGGGGAGCTTATAGTTCAGTTTCAGGTTTGATGAGCTAAAATATAAACACCAATTTATATGATGAAGGTTCTGCAAATTCTTTTATAACAAATAAGTGTATCATTAGATTTTGTTGTCCGGTTTGTAAAAGCAAATTAGGAAAGTTTAGTGATAGGCGACGGGACAATTACCTCCAAGCCTCCAACTAAAACGTTCCATTGTTTTATACTTGACTACCCTCCATATATTATTTTCTAAAATACCAAACTACCCTCCCTAGCTCTGCGCAGGAGCTAGGAAATAACGGATGGGGTGGGTTCTCCGGTGGAATTTCCATATATTATTTGGAGGAAGTTAGGCCGTAAAGCTTGTGCGGTTGGTGGGGTCGGATACTATGCTAACTCCTAAAGGGGTAGTGATTTTCGACACCCCCTTTATGATTGGCCAATTTTATTTCCAATCATTGGCAAGTATTAATTAAACTGGTTTTTTATTTTTTTTAATCTTGTAATTTGGGGTCTCTCACCCACATTGGAAAAGGAAAGAATATGGGGAATCAGAAAAAAGCTCCCCCCAAATGTGCAATTAATTGCCTTTTTTTCTTCCTTTCGTCTCCTTCTCTCTCCATTTGGGCCCTCTTTCCATTTTGATTTCATTTTAACCAGAACCCTCCTCTACTCTGAAACGACCAAAACCCTCCAGCGCCTTCCCCCACCACCATCCTCCTATCTCCAGCTGCCGCCATCCTGGGATCGCCTCCGACCTACCAATGGAGTGGTACGACCAGTGGAGTGGTATTTGTATCATTGAAGTGGTACTGCATTGTTGCTCCGTTATTGTTTATCATTGTTATGAAAAATATCATTGCACTGGTATTGTTCTCACTCTAACCTACCTTGTGGATTGCTCGGACCAGTGGAGTGGTACGTGTACCAGTGGAGTGGTACGTGTAATTAATGTACCAGTGAGAGAAATTAATTATGTAATTAATGGGGGTGATTTCGTTTTTCCCCAGATTCTTTCTCTTTTCCAATGTGGTGAGAGACCCCAAATTACAAGATTAAAAAAAATAAAAAACCAGTTTAATTAATACATGTCAATGATTGGAAATAAAATTGGCCAATCATAAAGGGGGTGTCAAAAATCACTACCCCTTTTGAGGTAGTCAAGCTAACCGATCCCGCGGTTGAAAAGTTTTCTCTCTTTTTCTGCTTTCTTCACACGTACACTGTTGTATCAAAACTCGAAAATTGTGTCTCGCAACCAAACATCTGTAACCATATGTGGCTCAATGAATTGAGAAAACTGATATAACCAATTACCAATATTTTCCTGCAATCCAGGCACTATGTATCCATTTTTAACCTTTTAGCAGTACCAGATTTTATCTATCAGGGTCTCTTTTTTTTTCTTCAAATCTCAGCAGTATTGTAATATTGTTTAAATCCAGGGAAGGATTCTCTACAATGCAACCATTTTTTTTTTAATTTTTTCCAACAATAAACATTTATATCGTACTTAAAACAAGTTTAAACTAATCCTGCCACGTGTCTCAGTTTAACTTGCTAATATAACAATCAGTTCGTTGTTTAAAGCAGTTAATGTAACGAAACCAAAATGACAGCGTGCAAAGTAAAGATAGGGTGAAACGTTTCACACATCTTCTTTGAAACGTCTTCATCTTCGTGATTCTTGTTTCCTGCAATAACCATTGCTACTGCTGCTGGAAGCAAGCATACCAGCTTGTTCCTTGTTCTCCATCAGGGGAGCCCAGGTCCCGTTTTCCAAATCCGTGATTCTTGTTTCCGTGTGTTCATCATATCATAAACCCCTGCATTTACTGAAACCTTTGCAGGGAGGAGCGACTTCATGTGGATATAGCTTCAGCTTGCTTGCCCCCGGAATTGGTGAAGATTTCTTCTGTGGAACTAAAAAACCGATAACCGGGCTTGGTTTGCAGGTGGAGAATGGGAACTATGATTCGTTTTATGACGCTGTATCAGTATTTTCTCCCGAGCAGGTACTGAGCTCTGGTATCATGCTGACTTTAACCAAATAACTTGAACTGTTGGAAGTATTCCATACGCGGAATTTCATATCATATTCTCGTTCGGAGGCTACTTGCGCTCAAAGTCTCATCTATCAGCACCCAAACTTCTGTTCAGTTTTTTGCATATACTAAACCTGACAGCAAAGACCTGGCGGATTCTTCCTTACGGTTCCACTACCAGTCACTATGCCTCATACACTTAGCCTCCCTGACCAGGTACACCGTACATGAATCAATATAATGGTCCTCCTCTGGTATTCGTTTCCCTTGTTAAGCCAATTCATGGCAATGGCCGACCACACAGATCAAGCTAGCAGAGCTATTGGAACAGGAAGGTGTAGACATCGCGCAAATCCTTCGAAAATAGGGTGTTTCTCGGGCTGATAGAGAAGGTTACGTACTCATAAGCTGCTCGTCACTCTCACCATCTGTCTAACCAACTATGCAGTTTGAAATAATGATGGTTATTGTTTACAGGCAACTTAGCAGCGGCATACCCAATCTCGAGAGTGGTGAAGATCCCTGTGATGTGTTCATCTGGACTCAGTGTAGTAACCGCGCCAATGGCCATCACGGCAGGAGCCTCTGGTGTGGTACGTATTTAGCAGCCAGCCTCATTTCGTTAGATCCACGGCTCTGACACTTGGATTCCAGAGATGTTAATCGAGGGGAGAACTAACGCAAAGAGTGTTTTGTCATTGCGAATGTGATTGCAGGGTGTGGGCTCAGCTATCAACAAGCTTAATGATGTAGTTGCCATGATTGCACAAGTAAGAAGCACTGCAGCTTCTTTAGGCATTTCAGCTGATAGAAGTAGCTTAGCTGACGAAAAAAACGTCAGTGTAACATAACAGTGCTCTGTTCAACAACCATGGTGTGTGTGTATGGATAGCCGGGTACAACAGAAACGAGATAATTTCCTCTATGAATGCCTATTTCAGCACAGAGAAGCTTGTCATAGAAACACAAATGAAATAGAATAGGGAGATATAGATTAGCCATCTATTGATTCACCACAGAGAAGTTTGACAAAGGAACACAAATAAAAGAAGGCAGTGACACGAGGATTTCCTACAGAGAAAACTGAATTCAGGACACTTTAACACCAGAGTCTCAACTAGGCTTGATTTAAGTAATCACATGGTTTTTTTACCTTGTCACCCCTACAAAACTATGTTTCCATTTACTTCAATGATAGTCCAAATTAGTTGTCATATGCACAACAAATCATCTACCCATTTACACAAACAACAAGGTAATGATCACAAAAGCGATGTACAACTTCTCTATCCCTGTACTTAATAGCTTGTGCCTGCTGAAGTATTGGTACCTGAATACAATAGCCCTAGACGTAATCTTCGGAGTCATCATCAGTGTCTTCCTGTTCACCACTTTCCTGCAGAAAATCACTCTTTTTAAGATCATAGACATTATAATTAAATTAGCTTAAGATGGGTGGGTGACAGTGGGGAATGGTTTACCTTTTTCTTTGTGTAATCCTTCAAGGCACTTTCAAACTCTGCTCTTTTCTGGGTGGCAATATCATAGTACTTAACTTTTTCCTACAACAGGCAGAAAAGAAAACTTTAAGCTAATTCTGAGGTAGCTTGGCAGGAATTGCTCAAAGAAATGCCGCAGAGATGCTAAAACGAATAAGATAACATAGCAGAAGTTGGCAGAATGGTAAAAGGTTCCATAGTTACAAGTAGATGTCAAAACAACTAATGGAGCTGGTAGAGGCTTCAAATTGCAGGTGGAAAAGTTTGGTAGTGTTGTTGCCATTGCCATAGACACAAATAAGATCTTAAACCGCAGCACAACTCCAATAAACTGACTACAAGGAAGCCTTGGTTAAGAATAGCCAGAGAAGAGAGGCTATGGAATTCCACATGAGATGCTTCAAGCGAACACAACTGGAGCAATGACAATGTGACTGGAGTGTGAGAAGTGAAAGTGAAATCATACAGCAGGAGCACTTTCCTCTCAAGACAGACAAACCTACAAACTTATTGTTCAGTCTCCACATTTATGCAGGAAGTCTTGAAACATTATTTGGGGTTATAAGCCATTAACAAAGATGAAAAGCACTTCTATCTGCAACCTTAGAGTCTCTGTCAAACTAAATTGTGGTTGGTTCACTACTCACAACAAAATGACTGAGGCTTTCACTTAATTATGAAACCTAAGCAGGAGAAAGAAAAGAAGAGAACCGAGCAGAGATATCATTAATCATAGAGCAACATGAACTGCACCTCATATGTCATTGTTTTCCACTTCTCCCCACATGCTTTGCCAATCTGAAACAGAAAAGGGCAAAACAGTAAGGCGTCAGGGGCAGAACAAAAGAACTGAAACAAATGAGTTGAACAAAAGAACAGTAAGGCGTCAGTGTGCATGAATAGACTTACCTCACGCATGGACTTGACATCTGGATTCTGCTCTCGAAAGTCTTTGCGAAAATCTTCCCTTCAGATTCAGAAAAGAGAACGAATTCAGCATAGTCGAGCAAGCTGCGATAGTTACAGCATAGAAGAAATGACAATTCGATCGAGCCACTCCAAAGACTAAAGGTAGTGCAGGAATATCTTGTCGGCCAAAATAGCTCAACCAAGCACAAATCAATACTATGATCAACTTAACACAAAAGAGTGGATGTCGAAAAAGACACTCCTTATCGTGATGATGCAGAATATCCAAACCCTAAATCGTCGACAACAGACATCAAATGGAACTTTCAATTCAGCTTCCTACAGACTATCGACTAACATTGAACTCTCAATAATCGAGTAACAATCCAGCCATCATAGTTGATCATATCAGTAACAACGCAATTCCTTACAGCACCCTGTACCCCCTCAATGGAATCATATCTTGCTGCTCTCCATTGGAGCCTTAAGAATAGTAGTACAGGATGAAGCAAGGGATGATAAGCATGTGATTTTGTGTAGTCAGACGAGCAAAACACTGAACCAGTTAGGTCAAGGTCTTACTTGGGAAGGGGGCCAAGCTAGCGACTCTCCAGCCAAACAGATGTCAGATAATAGAAGCAAAAAAGGGGGCAAGCTAGCGACTCACAAGTAAAAGAAGAAGGCAGTTGGCGGCTTCTTGGGCATTTTAGTGTCGACCTTGTCGAGTTTCTTCTTCGGCTTCTTCTTCGTTATGGAACTCGTTCCAGTCAGTTTCCTGTCGAGCTCGCTGCTCAACGTAACTTGTCTAATGGAATTCCTCGCTCCCTCGCCGCATTTAATTCTCAACACCATCCTCCTGGAACCAGAGAAATTTTATACAGACAGCTCTCCTCTCAGCGATTGATGCTTAACAGCGGAAAGTAAGGTAAGCAGTAATCACATAATCTGTTGCTCGGCGTTCGTGATTCGAAGATTTTCTCGGCGGCCAAACGGGAAAGGAAGCGGGTGCGGAAGGAAATGGAAGAATTTTTTTGCACGAAGTAGTGAAGTCGGGCTCTCGGAGAGAAGGAAACTGAGCTTACCGGTTCGAGTCGACGGCGGGTGTTTCACCGGGAGCTGAGGAGGCCGGAGAAGAAGAAGGAAGAGAAGAGGATTTCCTCGACTTTGAAGTTTTCGTAGCCACCATGGCCGTTCTTGCTTTCTTAATCTGTGCTTTCCCTTCTCTGCTTCGCTTCTGAGTTCTGACCTTCGTGCTGTCACTTGTCAGCTGGATGGGATGAACGCAAAATCAAATAAAGAAGTATTTATTATGTCAAAAATTTAAATAATATTTTTGACAAGTTCGATCCAAACTATCTTTTTATTCAAGTTTCGAGCCATGTTAATGTTAAAGTGCTAACCCTAAAATTGAATTTGGTATTTTGCTCATTGGTCTAACTTTTACCCTTTTCTTTTGCATAATTTAATTTGGACCATCCATCATGCTCGGTTAATTTGGGAAGATATTTATAGATGGTGCAGCGGAAGTAATTGGGCGGGCTTTTTAGGTTTTGGAATAAGAGAGGTAGGGGGACCAAAAACCCAAAGGGGGGCGTGGCCCAGTAGCAGTGACCAATCCCTCAACTTTTACCATTTAATAGACAGCAGCCCACCAAATTAATTCAAAGGCTCATGTGAGGCTGTTGTCATTCACGGCCAATCTGGAATATGATTGAAGAGAGCAGCAGCATCACTGTTCTTGGTCTGCAATTTATTATCCAACTGGACTCCAACCCAGTCGCGGTTTCCTTCTCTACCGCTTCGCCAGCCATTGAAAGCTCAAAGTCGTTGGGTACTTGTGGGTGTTGTGTGGATTAGATCATAGGCTTGTCACTTCCTGAGACATCACTTCGTGTTATTTGAGATTGTCACTTCGTCAAAAGAAGATGGACAAACCTGATCCCTCCTATCCACCAAATCGACTTCTTTGTTCGTGACTTGCGGGAATGGTTACAAAGTATTCTTGTTCGCGACGGTAAGGTGTTGCTGGTACTTTCAACTCTTTGATATATTTCGAAGTAAAGGAATACTTTCATCCATAAAAGGGAAGTGTGGTTACGTAACATTTTTTGGAAGGTGACTTAAGGCGTTACTCGTTCCAACTACAACATCCCGATCGACGGCCAAGCATAACCGCCGACCGGGTGTAGCATAGGGCAAGCAAGCAATAATAATTTATCGTACCACGGGTATTTAGGCTTGCCCTACTTCAGGTTTAGGGTTCATTATCTGGCCAACCTAGAGTAGTGATTAGGAAAAATTAAACTAACTAACCTAGCTAACCACTAACCTAGCTGTTTACAAGGTTGGGAGCTCTCTTGGGTTGAATTGTCCTAGGTCTGTCCTTTGAATCGATGTTGGGTATCCTTCTAGCTCGATCGACTCAAATACTCTACCTTTAGGAGATGGACTCCCTCGGGAATGACCCGGAATGGGGAATCGATGAATGGGGTGTGCTCTATTCAACCTAAGGAAACCCTATATCGTAGGAGATTGATGGAATCGACTCCCTTGGGGATCACCCGGACGATATAGGATGAGGAGTGACCCAAAGACGCCAATAGTGGGCTCTAAGGGGATTTTCTCCCTCCTAGGTCAAAAGCTCAAAACATGAAAAATGAAAACCCAACTCATGCAATTCATGAAAACATCCATCAATTAAGTAAAATCATCAATCAAACATGGAATTTGTCACAGACATCAACATAAAACCAAAATCTAGACCTAGAGTTTTTAATCCCAAGAGAAGAGGGTGAGTTTCTAGAGAGAGAAGATAAAAATTACAAGTTGGTGCACAAGATCTTCTTCTTCTTCTAAGCTTGATTCCTTGCTTCCAAACTTGATCAATGCCTTCAATTAAGCTCCAAGATCACTCAAGAACTATCTCTCACTGTAACTCCCCTTTGGTGTTTTGGGTCAAAACCCTAGAGAGAATCAATTTCTCCTCCAAAAACCAGCTCCCATTTTTCTCTCCCCGCTGTTGTCTTTATATTTGCCCTACAGTGCCGACTTCACGGTCTTAGCGACCGTGAACTGGTTGGACTCCATGAGACACGAAACTGCTCTGGAATTTGGCCACTTCACGTTCTAGGGGTGATTATCACGGTATTAGTACCGTGATAAATGAGTCCAAACCGTGAAGTCATGCACTTCACTCCCTGGGGGTGATTTTCGTGGTCTCAGGGCATGGCATTTGCCTCCAGCCCGTGAACAGTGCTTAGCTTCCACTTTTGGCTCGTTTTGACCTCCGAATGACCCGAAACTCGTCCGGACATTCCCACATGTAATAGGACTTGAAATATGACAAAAGAAGCACAACCTAGCATAAAATAGGTCGAGTGACGATGAAATACCAAATCAAACGTACAAAAAATGAGTGGTAAAATGTGTACAATTAGACCTGAATCAAGATGCACTTTGAAGATTCATGATGTTGGTATGCAAGTGTCTGAGTGATACGGATAGCACCTTTGATGGTTGGATCAACTTTAATGTGGATGGAAGTAAGCGGATAGCACCTCCATCCTCTTTGGTCAGTGGAGTGATACGGGACTTATAAAGTAAGTGAATTGTAGACTACTCGAAAAAAAGAAGGGGTAAAGTTTCGTGCTCAAAGCAATTAGAGATGATCTCAGGTTAGCTTGGAGCTTAGGATTTTGAAGGGTAGAGATAAACTATGATTCAAAAATTGTTGCCTCATTTCGCTATTTGGCTGATTTTCTCTTTTACCCACTTAGAGTCATCTTAATGATTATTATGTTCTTCTCTACGAAAATTTGGATTTTCATCTCCACCATTGCCTCGGGAAGGCTAATCAAGTTGTCAATTTCATGGCAAAGACAGATCACGATTTTTTGTAATTTGTATTGAGAGAAACTATGCCCAACAACAGCTATTGTCAATTGTTACTGAATCAATAGTAGACACTAATAGAAAAGGTGACATGTATCTTGAGGACTAAACAATAGCTGCACTATTCCCTTTTCTAATGTGCCGAAAAAGTGTATTCGTTTGGATGGATCAATTAAGAAATGAGTCAATTTGATCAATTATCTCGTTTTATAAACGAGACAATTAAAACGAGTCAATTCGAATTACCTGCCCCACCCCAGGTAATTGAAATTGGCCCAAAACGGATCAATTCAAAATACCTCAATAAGATTGATCCATCCAAATTTTTTGCTGGCAACGAGGCAATTTGGTACAATTGTCTCAAAACGAGACAATTGTATCAAATTGATCCGTTACAATTCCTCATCCAAACGGCCCCATATAAATCATAGAAAATAGAATGCAAGTGTTTTTTTTTTCATTAGGCCATTTGTTTTGTCGAGCGATAAAGATATAGAGTTAGTACTAGGGGTGGGAAACGGTGCAGTCCAGACCATGGACCAGACCCTATACTATACGGTCCAGACCAGACCACACTTGTGCGGTGCGGTCCGGAACGGTCTGGACCAGACAAACTATGTTAAAAAAATTAACTCTTATTCGCCCTCCAATCCTTCACCGGTATCTATAAAAATAAAAATTCTAGTGACCAAAATTCTAGTGAAACAAAAAATTTGTGATCGTAATTAAATGAGAAGAAATATGAGGATAGAAGTGGGTTCAATTTTCAATCACACACACACATCAAATACCTTGTTTCCCTATTCCTCATTGTGCTACCGCTTCTCTGCTCTCTCGAGTGATCCGAAGATTCTCCCGGTTGATAACCTTTGTGATGACGTTGAAGTAATTTTGAATCACTAAGATGGTCGCATACCTCTCAATAATTTTCCTTATCTCATCAAGGCGAACGAATTTTGTGTGGTTCTTTGATGAGGAGATAACACATAAGCTCAATTTGTTGGCTCTCAACTAGATGAAGAATCAACTAACTTTGTTCTTCAAATACGCAAATGGAGGTTCAATTTAGTGTTATTTTTGTTCGAGTTAGTAAGTAGTAGGTCGCGGTTTGTTACGGTTTACTGCGGTAGACCGCGGTCCAGACCACTTCAGACCATGCACTAAAGGAGGAGATCGCAACCAGACCAGACCGTAGTTCTGGTCTCACGGTCCATACCAAACCATACGATACGGTCTAGACTGTGGTTTCCCATACGGTTTGGTCTAGATTCCCAGCCCTAGTTCGTACAATTACCAAGATGTGTAGAGATTCAAGCAACCATTTGTGATTTACCTCCCCAATATAGGTCTCTCCATCGCTGAGAGCAACCACAAACAACTCATACAGGACATAATACAATATAAACACATGTTTACGCTCTAAAACTTTCTATTTGGTATTCTTAACCAGTGGCGGATTCAAAAAATTTAGATAGGGGTGTCCTCATCTAAAAATTTAATTTAATTAATAATTAAATAAGAATATATATGACTTGTACAAAATACAACAAAGCACAAGACGTGTTTTGTATTCTGAAAAAATTGTAAAATATCATTGATGTCTTACAATGCACTACAAATCTATCTCGATATATCCTACTAGACAAGGGGAGTCCGTAATTGAGTTTAATCGTTAGCTTTTGAAAATAATTGGGAATAAAGAATAACTTTTACTAGTATATTTGGATTTAAAATACAAGAACAAATGAGTTGTGATCTAATGAAAAATATGTTTCCTAATAATAGTAGCGACCAAAGTTCAAATTACATAAGTTACCAATTAAACGTTTTTATTTACACATATGCAAACTATCATTGGATGTTGGATAATCATTTTTCCAAATTTAAGAGTGTCCCGCTATCAATTAAATTTTTTTCCACTAATATACAAACTACTATCGGTGGTTGAATAATCGTGTTCCCAAATTTTAGGGGTGTCCCGAGACACCCCAAAGTGCCCTGTACCCTTTAGAAACTACTTCTAACAACAACATCGAAAGAAGAGGTAATTCAACGACTCGGACTCATGCCCATACAGCGAACAAAGCATTTTCAACAAAGAGATCAAGTTCATTATAAAATTAGGCAAAATTTTGAGATGAAAACTCGGGCAGGTTCAATACAGTTGTCACCGTCGACAAAGAGATGGACTTCATTTTTCCTTAGCCAGTTGCACCGGGTCAGATCAGGTCCTTAAGGCCTGCTCCTTAAGGAAAATCGTAAACCCCCTCCAACAAATAGGAGGAGAGAGAAGATGATTGGCAATAATTGACTAACTACCTACCTAATGCGTCAAGGGTAAGACTGGAATATTATTATTATTTAGTATTATTATTAAATAGAAG